CTATTACAGCAACACAAAACAAACGAAGACTTCCATATGACAATATCTCCATATCTGTGAAGGTAACTTGCTTTACCTGATTTAAGGTGATTCCTATCAGGTTTTTTTGCTTCACTGCCACATTACTATTTTTCTTTTTATAATTTGCAAATATTCTATTGGAAAGTAGTAGATGAGACAGTTATGATATCGCTTCTGTTTGAAAAATGATTTACCAGAATTTGTTTCTTTTTTTAGAAGTATGTGATGATGTATTTGTATAATAGAATGAAATTAAGTATCAAGTCATTTTTAGCTATTACTAAGAATGATGAGTTTATTTAAGAAACTAATTTTAAGAATCTATTTATTGCTATACTAGAAATATTCATTTACATAATTTAATCTGAAATATTACTGACTTGAATACTTATGGTCTTTATTTTCAGTCATTTTATCCTTTCTAATGACCTTTCAATAAAAGGTCTTCACATTGCAAATGAGCAAAGTTCTACAAAATCACACAGCTACAAAGCATTAAATCTCGAGTATAATTTTAGTCTCTTTGATTCCAAAAATTTATGCCAGATTACTCAAAAATTAGAAAAGAGGGACTGGAATGTATCTCAGTGGTAGAGTGCTGCCTAGCATGCACAGGACCTTGAGTTCAAGCACCAGTATCACAAAAACAAAGCAACAGTAAACAAAAAAATTAGAAAAGAATAATTTAAACTATAAATGTAAATTTCCATTAAAATAAGATTATAAGCTGTATATGTCTTACGATTACTAAAGTAGTAAGACTGCAATAATATATTCAAAGCATTTAGCTCAATGCATTTTATGGGAACCTTATTCAGTTTCAAAAAAGGTGATTGCTATCTATTTTAAAAAGTATATCACACCAAATTCAAATAAATTTATCATGGATATCTGAAGATTATTCAATCATTTTTATTGGAGATATGCCTTACTAAAATAAACAAATTTGTTATAAAGCCTATGTAAACAAAGCAAATATAATTTTTTAAAGTTTACAATATCTTTCATTGTTTATCTGTGATATAAAGAAATGAACTAAAAATACTTTGTTTGCTATTTTTGAAGCTGTTTTTATAAAAAAATTAACAAAATTTCTCGATATACAGAAATGTCATTAATAATATCCCAACTTTTTGACAGCTTCAAGAGACAAACAATACCCTTTAAAATTATTTGAATAGTTAGAAATAAAAAATTAAAACATATCTTTCAAAGTTAGTAATCTATTAGTTCGTTCTTGAATGTCTCAGTATTTTTCACAGCCTTTGCTATTTTGAACTCATGAGATTAGCAACTATTAAAACTTACTTACCATTGATTTTCTTCCCACAAGATGCTCAGTTTATCACAAAGAAAATAATGGAACCAAAAAAGCAAAGTTTTCTCACTGTAAATAAGAGATCATCTTAAAACAAATAGCAATTTTATGAATGGTCTTTTTAAAAATAACTATTATAAACGTGCCCATTCTGGATTCTAACTCTTAAGAGCTTTCTGTCCTTAAGGATTTGTAGTCATTGCCCGATTTCTCTTTGTAGTACTACTGAAAAATAAACCAGTTAAAGAGAAAAGAGTGTGATTAGGACTACACTTTTGTGATTTTAAAACAGAATTAGCAGAGCTTGTAATAATGAGTCTAATCATGGATAGTAATAAGCATCTTTAAAAATAGATGAAAGAAGGGACAAGAGATGTGGACACACTTAGAAATCTAGGTGTTTGTTTCTGAATGTGGCTGACAGAAACTTCAGTAGTGTGTGCTTTCAAATGCATTCTGTGTTTTAAAGACCACAGTCACAAATGGCTGTAATTCCCATAAATTTGTACCAAACCACCTGGATTGTCTGTATCCTTATCACTTCTCCAAAGCGTGTTTACTAAATTTCTCTTCCACCATCTAACAAAGTAATGCTTCTTTTGCTTGTCTCAAAATAACCATCCCTTCTCCTTTTCAATAGTCAACTCCTCCCCAGTGTCTAGGAGGGCAGTTAACAAATACCTGTGTCTTGCATGATTCTTAAACTTCAGAGCATTGAGTGTTAAGTTCTAATTTATGTATGTTTTGGTGCTGAAGACTGACTTTAAAGGCCTCATGCTCACAGTGATATTATTTTGTATTTTTCTCAAACTGTTGTTTTGCTGTGTCTCCACACGATCATCTTCCTGAACTTTGTTTTCTTCAACATTAAACATTTTAAGGGATGAGAGCCAACATGGTAAACTGACCGTGACAGACTAATATCTCCTTAGTGTGTTTTTTTGTTTGTTTACAATTGCTCTTTGTGACAATGTTCAGCATGCTCTTAACCCTTTTTTGTTGTTATTGCAGAAGAGCTCATTTCCTAGACAGTTTGCAGTCATTTTCGGTTTATTTTTACTGTATAGTTAAATGTGCATGACTGATGAGTGACAGCAAGTTTGGTCTCACCATCCCAAACAGCTCTTCTGCCTGTATTCATTGTCTCAGTGGGTGGCTGTAGGGCTCACCATGTGCTTATCTGGATATCTGTGCTTTATTCTGGATGCTCCTCACTGACTCAATCACAAAGTGTTTCCAGTTTTGCTTTATGTATTTTGACCCTTCGCTTCCGCTCCTGCGCCTAATGATCTTCTGTGGCACATTTTCCATACTTTCTTTAAAGGTCCATTGCAGAACGCCTGCTGTAGATGACATGTCCCCTCTAGGTGCCTCCTCTGCCCTGGATGGCTGTATCATTTATTCCTGATGATGTTTTCCCACTACTGCAGTGACTATGTGGAGCTCACTCCCTGCCTTACTCAAAGTGACTGATGTAGTGCCTCGTACGTGCAAGCTGATGTATCAGTGATTGTCGATTAGTTGAACAAGGACAATTATCTTTCACCTATTATTTCCAAGGACAATATGATTCTAGACTGAATGACTCAAATGAGAGCATGTTATACTAGATACCATGATTTAAGGGGAACTAGAGGCAGGGGCTTTATGAGGAAGTTATTGTAAAACTAGTGACATAAGATTGGGGGAAAATGTTAAAAATGTATGGATTTCATAGCTATTTTAGAAGATAGCACCTTCCTAAATTGCTACTACTATTTTGTATCAGGATATAGCAAGTCATGTTAAGGTAAATGCGTCCTTCAAAAAGGGAAGAATTTCCATCTTGGTGTTGCTCTTTAAAATGACATTGATAAATTTTCTTTGAGAACTCTTTTGTTTCTCATTAAAAGTCTTTAAGTTATATGTATTTATATATTTTTATGTAATTCCAAACATAGTTAAATATTGCAGTGAGTGAAGGATTCGTGTCATATCCTTATGCTTCATCCTTGATGATAATTGATAGTTTCTTAGTGATACCTGTTTAAACCAAACTGCTTCTAGAAGTGAGAGTGTTTGATGATATAAATCATATCAGTTAATGGGTAAGCATGAGAGCAATTAGCATGATGGAAAACTTACTACACCAGTGCCTTTATGAAATTCTTTTGACATCTTCTTTTAGATAAGTTTGCTTTGGCTTTGCAGCTTTCATCTTAGTGATATCAGTGACCGCTCATTTCAGGCAGGACAGTGAAATGGTTCTGTTGTTCCTCTTAGTCAGCACAAAATAAAAATGATGAGAAACCTTTTAAGAAGATGTGGGCTTTCCATTAAAAAGGAATAAAATCTAACTGAAAGTTGCTGTAAATTTTGAATAATTAATTTTATGCCAAATAAATGATTAGAAATTTCTGATAGATACAAAAAAAGCAATCGTTCACAAAATTTCAAAGAGCTAATTTTCAATAAATATACTTTAATATTTTCTGTTGCATTTGTATATTGGGAAAGATATATAGAAGCTTCAGAATTTTTACATAATAGACTTTTGCTAAAGTAGCCTGTAAGTGCTACTGGGCTCTAAACCAGCTAATTACTTTTCCTTTGGATTCTTTTATCTTATGTGATCATATTTGTTACTGTTTTTGTTTCTTATGTAGTAATAATACATCTTTAATATTTCAAGCATAAGGAATAGGTAGAATTTTTTGTCTTTTAAAATTTTTGTATGTATTATTTTAAAATATGAGTACATGTGTTTTCAAAACTTTGTATTATGTTGAAATATGAAATGCATTGTACACTTGTGTGTGTATTCTTTATTTACAAATTATAAGCTGGAATTTATGACCCCTTTGCAAAAAAGGGCACAATTTATGAACTTCCTATGTTTGTCCTACAGTACCAAGTAAAAAATAGCTCTCTACTAGACAGTACTGCTTATCGTATAGCTCTGTGGTTTTAGAAATGGACATACTATGCTTAATCTGAAAAGCTCATTGTATCAAAAACTCTCTTCCATTCTACGTATGTGGGTACAAATGTATTCTTCCATGAAATTGTCTTTCATCATGAAATATATAAGAAAAAATTAAATATGTAATAATGTAAAATAAAATCTTTTGTTCTTTATTTAATGAGTCTTGACATGTATGTAACATGCTCTACTGTTTTGGAGAAGCTAGTCAAACTACAAAATGGGCCAATATAAATGTCTCATCTGAATGACAACCAAACTGTAGTAACAATGGCAAAGAGAATGGCTATTTTTATGCTGGTTATCATGGCATATGTTATGATCTCAGGCACTTGGGAAGATGAAGAAATATCAAAAGTTTATAGCCAGCTGGGCAAGCTTATGAGACTTTATTTTGAATATAAAATAAAATGACTGAGGGTATCACTTAGTGACCCTAGAGTTCAATCCCTGGTACTGAAAAAGAAAACATCAACATTAACATCAACAACAACAAGAACAGTTAGCTCTTCAGGTAGTCTTTGTAAGAACAATCAAAGACTGTAACAACCCAAAAGTACCATTAAGGATCCAGCTTATAAACATCAACTCTAATAACAACAGGGCAAAGTGGAAACATCTTTTATTGAAAGTTTAAGGCTCTTCATTTTGTATTTATTATTTTGCATTTTATTGATTTTTATCTCATGTTCTTTGCAGAGAGTGAATCTGTCCTTCGATTTTCCATTTTATGGCCATTTCCTACGTGAAATCACTGTGGCAACTGGGGGTAAGTAGCTTTCTACCTGTGCACTGTAAATAATCTACAGTTTTACTGCAGGTATTATTTTTAATTTAGCCCATATTTCAAGAGGGCCATATAGTGAAAATCATTGCCTTTTAGCACAAAGTTGTCAGTAAAAATAAAGTGTAAGAAAGAGTAAAGATATTAGAAAACACTTTTCAGTAGAAAAAAAGTAGCTATCATAATTTTAGCTTAGATTGACCTTTGAGCTTTAATTCATCCTTTAGTAATATCATAAAACTACACTAATAATGGAAATTGGGGTAGAAGTAGAAAGAAAAGGTGCTTAAGTAAGCTGTTGCAATATTTTTATATTATTTGAATGCATATATTTGATAGATGTGTACATATGCACATCCATACACAACCATATGGGTATTACCTTAAATTGTTTATTCCCTTAAGGTCATCTATGTTGACTGACATTTCTTCTGACAGTATTAAAAGCAAACATTGAAATGCAGTTTGAATATGTGAAATTTTCTTTTCTTCACAAACATGGAGGTTAAAGATTAGCAATACCCTGCCAAGGCAATTATCATTCTTCACTGAGCATCCCAGAGGTTAGAATTACATTAATCCTGAAGCAATAGTAATAAGAGATGAACAAAATGCCAGAGAATATGCCTGGCGGTCTTAGACACCAGGATAGGAAAGTGGAAGTAAATAGAAACAATGGAACAATAAAAAAGAAGTAAGTAAAAAGAAACCCATGGGTATAATGAAAAGGAATGAGTGTCTGTTCAGGAAGCACAATAGACCAGGCATCTTTCCTTCCCTGAGTCTCATCATTGGCCTTCTGGATGGAATGGAAGCCACACTGATCATTTTGCCTTGTGTTATTATTTAGAAACTATGTAAGATTCGGGGAAAAAAACCCATAGTTATAAATTTCAACAGTTTGCTGAGCACATACTTTGAACTAAAGTGAATGAAGCTACTTGTTCTTTAGGAATGTGTAATCTTACAGAGAATTAAACAAAGTAAGGCACAAATGAAAATCACTTTAAAAATACAAAGATGGACCAGGGCTATAGCTGAGCAGCCTGTGTGCCTTCCTGGCAAGCACAAAGTCCTCAGTTTGATTCCTGGTCGCCCTCCCCCAGTACAAAAGATGAAGTATGGCTTTCCAGAATAATAAATCTCAGTCATCCATGGAAAACATTTAAGATTTTTCTGGAGAAATCACTGATGTCACACTTTCTATGGTTTATAGAGAGGAGAAAGTCTCTGGAAGGAGCATCCAAAGAGATATAGAACAGGAAGTGGGTAGAGTATTTTGGGTAATTGAGTTTGATTAAAGTCAGGTGTGTATTTACCAAATAATTATCATATTAGGATTATAAATTAGAAAAGTAATTTCAGATAGTTTTATATAACACATTAAGAGTCAGCTTTACCTTGAGGCTTTAGTCCTTAAGTAGGTAAAAAATAAACTCTAGCAGGCTAAACCTAGACATTTGTGTAATGTTTTAAATTGTAGGACCACTGGACTTAGTACATTTAGAAAAATAGTGCAAAAGAATATTTAAAAGAGGCGTTGGTGATTCTTTTATTGTTTGTACCATTTACAGACTCAAGTAGAGGATCTGGTTTTAATGAATGATAATAACTTTACCTTTGAGATTACTAATTTTGTGCAAAAAAACCCCCTGTATATAAATAAAATATGGAGGGCTTTGTCTTTTAAGCTCCTGTGTGTGTAGTAGTATAGTACCAGGTTTTAATTAATGTTCTCAAGAGACTAAATGAAAAGCAGAATGGTAGAACTGAAAAGTGACCCCAATAGGCCATGAAACATATTAATCTCTCCTGTCCTTAAAGTATGATATAACTATGATGATCTTTTAATATGGATGTTAGGGATGTTTTCTCACATTTATTGTGTGTGTTCTACTGAATATGAAAAGGTGAATTCTCAATATATATTAAAAATCTGTACATGCAATGGCAAACATTTGGGTAGCTGCGCATTTTCAATTTTGCAAATTGCTTTAACTTTAATGCTCATGACAGTGAGTCAACTAATATGAATTAAGATCCCTCATAGTGGAGTGGGTGGTAACAAACTAAAGCAGATAGCTGAATAATCTTTACTGCTTCAAAGTACCATTTTCCTCAAAAAGAGCCTCAAACCTGGTGTCTTGAATGATCCTTCTTCTTGGAAATAAACACTAAAGTAAAGATATTCTTTTTTTTTCTCTAATAAAATATGGTAGTATGGAACTTCCATGTGCAACTCTCTGGACCTTATTTAAAGAGGCATGGTTAAGATAATTTAGATATTGGCCTAAATTATTTTCAAAATGCAAGCAGACTCTCGTGTAAAAGTTTGAATAGGTTGCTTTCTCATGGTTAATTCAGCCTATCAATATTGATTGAGTCCCATCAAAGCTTCTATACAAAAAGTTTAAAATTAATTGTACAAGGAGCTTTTAAAAAGTGAAAAAGTGAGGCATGGTTTCTAAACAGATGCTTAGCATCTAAGGAGAAGAAGGGATGTGATATAAATAAAACAGTAAACTAAGGTTGGCTATAAGAGCTAAAGGGATAAAGTATGGCTCAAAAACAAATATTCGTCAAGACCAGGTCTGTTCAATAGCTAATAGTTGCCATTGACCTAAAAGAGGACAGAATTTTAGTTGGCAAAGAAACTATTTGGTAAAAGTGGACAAGGAAAGTGGTTTCAGACTAGAAGATGTTGAGCTAAAGGACAGTGCTAAGGGTCATTGAGCCAATCAGTTTATCATAAATAGAAGGTGGGAACAGGGGTCCAGTGAAGATGTCAAGACTATTGTAGGATAGCGTAAGCTTCAAGGATTTGGAGATATTCTGCAAGTGTTGCTTCTTATAGTAGAAGCAGCCTGATCTGACAGTGAAAGGTAAGGTGGGTTGAAGTGAAGCTAGAGAAAACAGATAGGACTTTTCAGGGCCTCTTCTTTGATCATTAGGGCCTGAATGAAGTAAGATAGGTGCAGAAGAAAAGGAGCCATTGCAAGACTCCTAATTTGAGTCATTTAATCACTGTGATTCTAAAGTTTCCAGCTCCAAGAATCCATTAAGATTTGGTTTAAAAAAAAATCCTAAGAGCTAAGAGGACTTTTGAACCACAGATTTGGTGAATCTCTTTTGCAATTTACTTATAAGCAGATGGAAACTATCTGACATATACTCATTCACCTTGTAAATTTTAAATTTGTGATTAACCATGGAAGGCTTGGAAGAAAGCAGAAACTTCAGATTAAATAAAAGTCAGATGAAATAAAGTTGATTGCAGATCATTCCAAATAGGCAGGTGCTGAGAGTTTTAAATAGAAATGTGTTGTTTTCTGTCGTATTGACGGTCGATTCTCCTTGACTGTGCTTCCACATATTTCTCTTGAAGCTTTTCTGCAGTGGATGAAGGAAAAAAAAAAAAAACAAAAACAAAGGGAAATGTTTTCATAGTGGAGGCAAGCTGTGCAAATAAATAAAGTGGATACTTTAAACCACAGTCCTCTTTATTGTATTTCACTGCTTTACCAGTTTCCATGTGTTCTTCACATCTGTCTTTCTCCACCCCACACAGTGATACAAATTTAGTTAAAAATAAAGTTAATTTCAAGATAATGCCTTGTGTTACTGCTCAGATCACAATCTCATGTCAAAATGTATTTTAAAAATGCAGACATACGCGTGATTCACTGTGCTCCATCTTTGTATTTTAAACATACTTTATTATAAATAAACTTGCATTTCCACATAAAAATGTGAATTAAAACTAGATAGCAGATCATTTATTTATAAACTACAAAAATAAAACATTTGCCTATCAAGTATTTTAATATTCAAAAGCTTCAGTCATCCATACAAATAATGCCCAAAATGAATCTGAAATGCCATCTAATTTTCTGGTTCACTGATAGCAGATTCTGAAAACATCTACTTTTGTTTCCATTTAAAAAAATACTTTAGAATACACATACATTGAGCATTAAAAAATTAGTCCTCTATGCATTTCATAAAACTTTTTCCATTAATAGTATCTCTGATATGTGTTGTTTGCTTATCGTTCTGCTTACTTGCCTTCTCTATTAGTATCTTAATTGGTTCTTTTATTATGAAGCTGCTAAAGTCATCTTTTATATACCTCAAAATGCACAGCTGAGTGTGAGAATTTGAGTTTTAATTCATGTAGCCATCACTAATAATGATATTTTTATGTAAATCTATCAGCTGTACACATGACTTTTATGGATTCAGGGTGGAGAGGTAAGTTAATTGCTGCTTCATATAATAGGAAAGAGAGAAATATAGTAATGCATATAACCCTCACCCCAAAACTTAACTGTGTGGACAGATGGTGATTTTTAATTAAAATATGTGAGGAATTGCAAGCAGTTGGACATGAGATTAGAAATCAAAGGTGAAATGAATTTAAAAGTTACTTTGGAATACATATTACCTGTATTACCTACTTTGACTAGGATACAAATTTTTAGTTGCAGATTTTATAACAAAAATGTTGAAAAGTTTAGATCTACTTTCTTTTGTTGCCACATTATAACTAATAAAATATAAAAATTTTTCATTAAGTAATGAATTTTTAACATCCAAAATACCAGGACATTAAAATAGACAAAAGTAAAAATTAAAATGCACTTTTCCTGTCTTCTAGCTTACCAGTTCCTTTCCCAAGAAAAAAATTACTGTTATTCTTTTTGTATTTTACATTCACATTTAGAGTAATATTCTGTATCTTACCAGTAATCATTTGCTTTCTCCTTTAAGTCCTCAATAAAAAAGATTTAAAAAAAAATAATGCATAATATCTTGACTGAATTTTTAGGAAGTATAAGAACAAATTTTCCATCTTTTTTCTTTTGGCTTTCAAATGGTAATATTTTAATTATAGATCCAAATAATATTCCATGCTTTTAGATGACTTGATTAATAACAGAAATAAAAGGCTTTTCAGGGGAGAAACAGTGAGTTATTACTCATGA